GCAACCCAGGCACGTGCTCTGACCGGAATCGAACCACAACCTCCTGGTTCATGGGAGGACACTCAACCACTGAGCCACACTGGCAGAGCCTTTCTGCTTTCTTGTACCTGCCAAGGAAATCCCCCAATCCTGAGAGGGTGGCCCCAGAACACCAGCTCCATGAGGGGAGGGATTTTTGTCTGCTTTCTCACTGCTGTAAGGACAGCACCTAGTACAATGTAGTCACTCAATAAACTAGAATGGATGAATGAATGAATGAAGGAGAGCAGAGATAAGATGTGGACAGAGGGTGCCTTCTTCCCCTGTGTTCCCTCACCTGTAACATGGTGATAAGCCTGCCTGTTACATGTGGGTAAAACGTTTAGCACACGTGAGCCCTCAGTAAGTGGTGCAGGTGCTGTCATCAGTATCCTTGTTATGACTACTTCCTGCTGCTCCTGATCAGTCCATCCAGGCTGCTCTCCCACCCATGAGTATGGGGGACCACCCACCAACCTCCAGCTGGCTGACAGGGAAACGGGAGCCAGGAGGGACTGAGCGGCACGGGGGTTGGCAGCTGGGCCGAGCCGCCCTTACCGGTCAGGGTGTACTCTGTCTGCCGGATGCCCTCCACAACCATCCAGGGCTGGTCCTCCTTGAGGCGGGGCGGGCCCTCGAAGTTCGTCCGCCGGTACTCCAGCACGTAGTGGTCAATCTTGCTGTCCTCCTCCGGCACGCGCCACACCAGCGTCACACAGTTGTCCGCCACCAGAGACTCGGCCAGGTCGATCACAGGGGCACTGGGGACTGGCCAGGAGAGGGGCAGGGGTCAGGGCCCTGCACCAGCAGGGCAGGCCTTGCTGAGCCCGTCCACAGGATAGGCCTCCTTGGAGATGAGGCCTCCTCTGGATCCCACGCATGGGGGACCCCTCAGAGTTCGGGGCCTGGGAGTGCAGCCTCATCAGGTTCCATTAAAGCGTGGGGGGGGGGCGGGGCAGAGCTTTTTCAGGGTTCAACCAACAAATGGCTGTGCCTTTTCAGGATTCCACCACTTACAGGTAGAACATTTCCAGAATTCTCTACCAACTAGGGGCGTGGCCTCCATGGACCCCCACCACTGCTGGGCGGGGCCTTTGGGGCTCTGCCACCAGGGGCGGGGCTTCCTCAGGATTACACCAGGTGTGTGGCCTCCTGGTGGCACCAGGGGGGCTTCTTTATGGCTCCACCGAAGGGCATTTTTGGGGTCCCCACACCTGGCTGTCAGCCTTACTCCAAGCCTTCTCTCAGGGCCTCCCAGACGCCCCAGCCACTTCTCTGAAACCCTGGGGCGGTCCCCTCTCACCCGGCAGGAACTTGAGTGCCTGTAGCATCCTCCTCTCCTGGGCAAAGTCCACCATGAGGTGACTCATGTTGTCGCTGACCTTGGCTTTCAGTGACAGCCGGAAGGCAGGGGCCATGGTCACACTGCAGGGAAGGAAGTGGAGGCAGCCTGCTGGCAGGCGTCTCCGGGGGCCCCCCTGGCCTGATCCTCCGAGGTATGGGGGTGACTCCCTTCCCCTGGTTTTGGTCCAGTGCTCTGGGCCAAGGGACCCTCACCTGGGTGTCCCCACCGTCATACCAGGGGCGGGGCACTGGGGTGGGGGCCAGATCCAGTATCTTACCCATCTTTGAGTTGCTTGGCAGCCTAGAAAGAGGGACAGAATAAAATTCAGAGTTGTCGCGACTGCATTAGAAAACCACTGTACAGACAGGAAGACTGAGGTCCAGCGTGGCAGCCATGCTAAAGTCCCCAGCGCTGGGGCAGAAACCCTTGGCTGCGCCCTGAAAGGGCAGAAGGGCAAAGACACCACCCCTCCCCCACCTCCTGCCCAGTGCCCAGAACATACAATTGGCAGAGTTAGCAAATAAAAAATACAGGACAGCCAGTTAATTTGCATTTTAGATCAACAATGCTTTTTTAGTATAGGTATGTCCTATTCAATATTTACAACATACATATACAGTTAAGTCCTCACTTAATGTCGTCAATAGGTTTATATATATATATTGCTTTCAGAGAGGAAGGGAGAGGAAGAGAGAGGTACAAACATCAATGATGAGAGGGAATCATTGATTGACTGCCTCCTGCACATTGGACCGAGCCTGCAACCCAGGCATGTGCCCTTGACCGGAATCGAACCTGGGACCCTTCCATCCGCAGGCCGATGCTCTATCCACTGAGCCAAACCGGCTAGGGTGTCAATAGGTTCTTAGAAACTGCAACTTTAAGCGAAATGATGAGTAATAAAATCAACCTTATCGTAGGCTAACTGATATAAACAAGAGGTAGGTTCCTATAGCCTATTTCTGGTCACAAGAACATCACCAAACTTCTAAATAAAGACCCCAAACACTTCTAATATTAAACATGGAAATAACTGTGAGCTGTACACCCATTTAAGAAGGATTAATAAAAACAAGAAAGAGAATGATTTTCCAACCTCCTGATTCCAGTTCAGGGTTGCAGGTGGCCGGATCCTCTCCCAGCAACTCAGGGCACCAGTAGGAACCCACCCTGGGCAAGGCACCTTCCCATCACAGGCGCACTTACACCCACCCCACACTCGATTCGGACTGGGACAGCGTAGACACGCCAATTCACCCCACGTGCCCAGCTTTGGGATGTGGGAGGGGACTGGAGTCCCTGGAGAAAACCCACGCGGATATGGAAAGAATGTGCACACTCCACACAGAGAGTGGCCTCAACCAGAATTTTTTCCCCCATATCAGTGTTATAACAAAACAACTTTGAATAAAATAATGTTATCCAAGGACCTGCCGTACTAAATAGTGCATGGGATATAGTATACTAAAAAATTACTCATTGTTAAATTTAAATTTCAAATACATAATTATTTTAATATAAATATGTCCTATGCAACATTTGAGAAATACTTATAGAAACATTTGCATGGGATATACTTATACTAAAAAAATTATTCTGTGTTAAGTATGAACTTCAGGTTAACAACAAATAATTATTATTTACTTATTTTTAAAACTTTTATTTCTTGATTTTCAGAGAGAGATATTTGTTGTTCGACCAATCCACGCATTCACTGGTTAATTCTTGCACGTGCCCTGAGCAGGGATCTGCAACTGTGGGTCATTGGAATGATGCTTCAACCACGCCACCTGGCCAGGGCCAAATTTTATTTTTTTGGATAAGTATATCCCAAAGATCACATGGAACATACTTATCCTAAATATTGCATGGGCCATACTTTACTAAAAAGTTACTCGTGGTGGCCATGAACTGCAAATTTAACCGGATGTCCTGCATTTTGTCTGGCAGCCCTACCAGCGTGGCTTCTGAGGCCCCACCTGAGGAAAGTCCTCGCTGTCTGTGGCCTGCAGGGTCTGGTTGGCCGTCTCCAGAAGCTCCTCGGAGCTCTCCAGGGCCCGAGTGCAGGCAGCCAGCTGGTTCTGCGGGTGGCAGGGCACTGAGGGAGGAAACCTCTCACCCCGATGCATCAGACCCTCCCTGGCCTCCCCATGCCTTTGGGATTCAGGGCACCACACCCTTTTCCAACTCCAAGTGGGAGCGGGAGCTGGAGAAAGGTTGGGTGTTGCTCCTCGAAGAACATCAGCATCACCTGGGGATCCTTCCTCAAACACGCACGCGCCCAGGCCACACCTGAGCCCAGGGCTCAACGTCCCCGGGGGTGGGAATCTGAGGTGTTAGGAAGTTGCCCAGGAGGTTTCAATACAGCCCCACCAACCCCACAGGAGCCATGGGGGGTGTTTGGCCATCAGATCTGGGGGACCAGTGGGAAGGGCTGAGAAACGAGTCACTGAGTGAGAACAGGAGGGAGGAACAGCCAGCTGTGGGGGTGTGGCTGTGGCAATGGCGACAAGCGGGCGGAATGGATGGGGGATTAAGAGGGAGAACAGGTGGGTGGGGGGTTGATAGGTCATGGCCAAGGAGGGGACAGGCAAGAGACCAGGGAAAGAGGCGGCGAGGCCAGCATCATCAGGGTGTCTGGCTCTGGACACTGGGAACACGGGAGCATCGCCAAGAAGGGACACAGGAAAAGGGGCAGGTTTGGAAACAGACACGAGGCCAGCTGAGATCTGAGGGGTGCAGTGGAGATGGCACCTGGGGTCTTGGAGAGTCCCCCGAGACACACACCTGCAGCTCGTAGGTTCGGCTGGCACGGTCCTGCTTTATCTTCATGAGCATCCCCTCCTTCAGCTCCTCCAGGAGGGAGAAAAGGGACTGGAACTCCGCCTCCAGGTCCTCCTGCACCTTGGCCGAGTTCGCCTTGGAGAGACGTGGCAGGTCTCAACAGCCAGGACTGGCCAAAGCCCATGCTCAGGTGGGGAAACTGAGGCCTGGACATGGCAGCCGGGCCCAGAGTTCCACGGTTATCAGCAGCAACAGGCTCGCTCACGGGGCTGCCCCCGCCCTCCCGTCCATCACCTGCCCTCACCTCCATGTTCAGCAGCATCTGCTTGAGGGAGTAGATAAAACTCTGAATCTCTTCATTCTTCACAGCCAGCGTGGTGATGATCTTCCGCAGAGCCTCCTGCCCCCACGGGAAGCGCGCACACAAGGCCAGTAAGCCCCTCAGCCAGGCCCAGCTCCCTCACTTGGAGCTCATCGCTCCAACCTCCAGAGACCCAGGGAGATGTGGGGCCACTGTGCCAATGCGCTTGGGCACTCAGCAGGAGGCAGGCCCTGGGGGAAGCTCCGGTCCTACCTGCCCTCACCCAGCAGGTGGGCACCATGAAGATACCCATTTTACAGGCGAGGAGACTGAGGCACAGAGTGAGCCTCTCAGTAAGGAACAAACCCTGGGCGGGAGCACAAAGCCTGCAAACCTCCATCCTGAGGGCGGGGCATGATCAGGTGAGGGGCTCGCTCGGGAAAAGAAAACCCCAAAGGAAAATGATGCCTGCAGCAGATGGGCTGACCTGGGGAAGGGGAGGCCCTCGGAAAAGGGCTTGGCAAGGAGAACGGAGGAAGCTGAGGAGAGCGGATGCCAGGGAGCCCAGGTAAGTGGGGAAGGGGGATGGTCTGGAGGAGGGGATGCCGGGAGGGGATGCCGGGAGGGAATGCCGGGAGGGACGGCGGCGTGGGAGGGTCTTGCTGGGGCCTGTAGCTCTGACCCAGGCTCGGATGGGTCTGTTTTCTGGGGGCGCAGGGGCGGTGGAATCACCTGTGCTGAGCTGGTGGGGCGGGGGCCGGGACACCTGGTCCGCAGTCCGGATGGAAGGCGTGGGGGATGGGGTCCAGGTTGCGCCT